CAAGCCAGCGAGGTAGAGTTGATGGTAGTGCCGTTGACTTGGAGGGAGACAGACACAGGAGTAGCAATACTTGAGGGAGGAAAGACCAGAAGTTCTGCTTTGGATAGGTTGAGTTTAAGGAAGTGAGCAGCCATCCAGTTGGAAATCACAGAGAGGCAGTCAGAGACACGAGTCAAGATGGGCGGAGAGAGTTCAGGAGAGGACAAGTAGATTTGTGTGTCATCCACATAGAAATGATTACGGAAGCCAAAGGAGCTGATGAGTTTACCAAGGGAGGCAGTGTATATAGAAAACAGGAGGGGACCAAGGACAGAACCTAGGGGAACACCAACAGAAAGTGGTTGGGGGGAAGAGGCAGAATCAGAGAAGGAAACACTGAAAGAATGCTGAGAGAGGTAGGAGGAGCACCAGGAGAGAGCAGTATCCCGTAGACCAAAATTACAGAGAATGCAAAGAAGCTGTTGATGATCAACAGTGTCAAAGGCAGCAAAAAGATCAAGGAAAATTAGAATAGAGTAATGGTCGTGAGATTTATCAGCATTTAAATCGTTGGATACTTTGGTCACAGCCGTTGTAGGATCACCATAGACCTCTGCGATGTACTCTGACACATGCCAGGTTTTCTGGTGGAAATAATATCAGAAACCGAGCAAAGAGGTTGGATATATTCTTCCAGGCTTTAGCCATATCACTTTCCTTTTCATCCTTCTCTTTGACTTTTCAATCTTTCCAACTGGAATCCTTTTGAATAAATCCGCAATCAAATTAATCAGAGCTCTATTCACCCAGGTCTTTCTATCTTGCCAGCAATTCACCAAAGCAATTGTACATCTGCATTTCATATGCCAAGGCTCAAAGGCCTAACATTCTACAGTTGCAAGAAAAAGTATGTGAACCCTTTGGAATGACATGGATTTCTGCACAAATTGGTCATAAAATGTGATCTGATCATCATCTAAGTCACAATAGACAATCACAATCTGCTTAAACTAATAACACACAAAGAATGAAATGTTGCCATGTTTTTATTGAACGCACCATGTAAACATTCACAGTGCAGGTGGAAAAAGTATGTGAACCCCTAGACTAATGACATCTCCAAGAGCTAATTTGAGTGAGATGTCAGCCAACTGGAGTCCAATCGATGAGATTGGAGGTGTTGGTTACAGCTGCCCTGCCGTATACAAAAAAAACACACCCCAGTTCTGGGTTTGCTTTTCACAAGAAGCATTGCCTGATGTGAATGATGCCTCGCACAAAAGAGCTCTCAGAAGACCTACGATTAAGAATTGTTGACTTTCATAAAGCTGGAAAGGGTTATAAAAGTATCTCCAAAAGCCTTGCTGCTCATCAGTCCTCGGTAAGACAAATTGTCTATAAATGGAGAAAGTTCAGCACTGCTGCTACTCTCCCTAGTAGTGCCTGTCCTGTAAAAATGACTGCAAGAGCACAGCGCAGACTGTTCAATGAGGTGAAGAAGAATCCTAGAGTGTCAGCTAAAGACTTACAAAAGTCACTGGCAAATGCTAACATCCCTGTTAGCGAATCTACAATACGTAAAACACTAAACAAGAATGGATTTCATGGGAGGATACCACAGAGGAAGCCACTGCTGTCCAAACAAAACATTGCTGCAAGTTTACAGTTTGCACAAGAGCACCTGGATGTTCCACAGCAGTTCCGGCAAAATATTCTGTGGACAGATGAAACCAAAGTTGAGTTGTTTGGAAGAAACACACAACACTATGTGTGGCGAAAAAGAGGCACAGCACACCAAAATCAAAACCTCGTTCCAACTGTGAAGTATGGTGGTGGGGACATCATGGTTTGGGGCTGCTTTGCTGCGTCAGGGCCTGGACGGATTGCTATCATCGAAGGAAAAATGAATTCCCAAGTTTATCAAGACATTTTGCAGGAGAACTGAACGCCATCTGTCTATGAAGCTCAAGCTGAAGCTCAACAGAAGATGGGTGTTGCAACAGGACAATGACCCAAAGCATAGAAGTAAATCAACAACAGAATGGCTTAAAGAGAAGAAAATACGCCTTTTGAAGTGGCCCAGTCAGAGTCCTGATCTCAACCCGATTGAGATGCTGTGACACGACCTCAAGAAAGCGATTCACACCAGACATCTCAAGAATATAGCTGAACTGAAACAGTTCTGTAAAGAGGAATGGTCAAGAATTACTCCTGACCATTGTGCACGTCTGATCTGCAACAACAGGAAACATTTGGTTGAAGTTATTGATGACAAAGGCGATTCAACCAGTTATTAAATCCAAGGGTGCACTTTTTCCACCTGCACTGTGAATGTTTACATGGTGTGTTCAATAAAAACATGGCAACATTTCAGTCTTTGTTTGTTATTAGTTTAAGCAGACTGTGATTGTCTATTGTTGTGACTTAGATGATGATCAGATCACATTTTATGACCAATTGGTGCAGAAATCCATATCATTCCAAAGGGTTCACATACTTTTTCTTGCAACTGTATATTACTCCTGATAACTCCATTCTCAGCCTATCATTGTTACTCAAAACTGGACAAGTATTATGGATGTTCACTTCTGCCTTGTCCCAGCTCTACCAGAGAAACCAAGATTTAGGTAAGAGATCCCGGTTTGTTTATTTTTTTAAAATAGTTTTTTGGAAGGGGGAGAATGGGGGGTGTTTTATAGGGTTGAAAATCAGCCAACACAAACTATGTCACCACTAAGCACTATACCCACTATAATAAACTGTATTGGTGCGTAGCGTGCCCATTTGGTATCCCTGTTTTTGTGATATTAAAGGGACATTTTAGTGAGCAAAACAATGCTAGCTTAATGAAGAGGTTTTGGTGTATAGATCATGCTCCTGCAGTGTAACTGCTCAATTCTCTGCAATTTAGGAATTTAATAACTGTTTATAAATCCTTAGTTACACTCCCTGCATGTGACTTGCACAGCCTTCCTAAACACTTCCTGTATAGAGTCCTCTAATGTTTACACTTCCTTTATTGCAAATTCTATTTAATTTAGAATTTCTTATCTCCTGCTCTGTTAATCGCTTTATATACCCTGCAACACAGCCTCCTGTGTTTGATTAAAGCTCAATTTACAGAGCAGGAGATAAAAACTTAAGTTTTTATTTAAAATAAACATTTTCCATGCAGGCTGTGTCAGTCACAGCCAGGGGAGATGTAGCTACGGCTGCATAATTGGAATCAAAAGTTATTTAACTCCTAAATAGCAGAGAATTGAGCAGTGAGACAGCAGGGGTATGAATACGCCAAAACTGCTTCATTAAGGTAAAGTTGTTTTGGTGACTATAGTGTCCCTTTAACTTTTCTGCGCTATAAGAAACAAATTATACTTTTTCAATGGTATTTGACATTGTTAAACTTACCTTTTTGTTTTGTCAGTACATGTCATATCTTGTTTTGTAATCTATTGTTTCTCAGAGTACATTGCGTATTGTTAATTTTACTCTGTTTTATAACGTGTCCTTCAGAATGTAACAAAAAAACTAAACAAAAGAAAACACTAATGTGGACCACAGAACATAATACAGCAGGAATGAAAATGGAGAGGTTGAAATAAATAAATAAAAGGTATAAAGGTATAGAGATTGCAAAGAAGCACATATTGAATCTACACCTCTCATTTTTCTTTGTCATTCACTCCATTGATAACAAATATTTCAAACTCTAGTACCATTTACCTTCAAAAATCAAGTAAATGAACTGAAATTGTAGATAATTTTTTTTCCCGCCATTTCCCAACAATCCCGATTCCAGGGTTCTATCCCGCTTTCTCACATCCAAGGGCAACAATGAACTGTCATTTGACAGCACACTGCGAGTGCATCATTAGACGAAACTGCCCTGTGCAGGACAAATAGAGCACCGCGGAGAATGCTTTAGCAACACTGTCTGCAAGGTCCTGCAGGCCCGCGGCCCGCTTCAAGAGGTACTCTCTCAACCCATTGTATAGCGCTACGGAATCTGATGGCGCTATATAAATAATAAAATAATAATAATTATGGACGATTCCAGTGACGCTCCCAGGCCTCAGGCCCGCAAACCCGTTTCAATCTACAATCTCCCACTGTTTAGAGGTATGTTTTACTTTTGCCAAGTTTTCTATGATCCTTCATGATGGTTCCCCTCTCTCCTACCCTAACAGCCACCTTCTCCACTATACCAGTTCCTAATTCCTGTCAAAGGACATAGTCCAAAATTACCAACACCCACTTATTTATATTCACACTTCTGATGAGACTCTCCCCTTCTTTGTTCCATAAAATAATTAATTGATTTCCCTGCACTGATATTTTGTTACAGATTACTGGATGACGATATAGGACATTATATTCCTTAGTGGTCAACATTTTATTGATTAAAATGGGCATCTAGGATTGATGCAGACAAGTGCCAACTTCGAGGCTTCTGAGTGCCACAAGTGTCACCTGTAACACTGATTCATTATCACATATCTATTCTGTATCCTCTGTCTCCTTATTTACTATGTTTGATTGCTTGCCCTTTCTTTTCTGCGGTATCTCAGCCCACGCCCTTTAAGCTTGTATAATATAGCTTTAGAGTTCACCCCGTGCACTGCTCAGGAGCAGCGGGTACAAGCTATGGACGTCACAGAATGTTACCTGTGTTCTAGAGGCAGCTGGTTCATGAAATTCAATCAACAGAGGACAGTGTGCGAAACCAGCAGAACAAAGACATGATAAATATAACCCTTCTCTGTACTTTGTGTTTCACCGATTCGAGTCTCTACAGACTGTAAGCCCTCAACTCTCAGAACCTACTGTATCAGTTTTCCTCCGTCTTTCCCTTTTGTAAAATTTTCTGCTGCTGATTAAATTAAAATAATAATTATAATAATGAGTCCAACAAGCACTGTTAACTTACGAAGCTTTTACCAACACCCAGTCTAATCAAACAACACACAAAATTATAAACAAAACCACAAATTAGAGAGGCTTGGTGACAAGTAGCTCGACCCACCTGTGAAGATTTAGAAGTCCACAACAGTTTTAACAGCTTCAGTTTTAGAAAGAAACAGACCAGCACACCTCTTGATGGCTTGACAAAGACCTCCTTTATGATCGTATTGTTGTTGTGGGACCCTATTAATATAATAACTTTAAGGACCGAACAAGGAATAGATTAAACGTTTTATTTATTTGCTTTTGGAACAGTTTGAGTCGTTCTTGGAATGCTGCTATACAGGTCCTGAACTGTGTGAAAAGCATCAAGATCATTCAGGGGTGACGAAGGTAGAAATCAACTTAAATTTTGTGCTCCAGAACATTTCGTGCAGGTTCAAAGGTGTTTACATCTGTATACAGAACAAGTTTTGACTTTGAATTATCTTTCCGGTAATATGAGAACAGTACATTGTGCATTTCATCATATATTTTGTTTACCATTCTTTTTAAATTATACGACCATACGGCACAAACAGTGGACCTGAGCGCTCCCACGAGATGTCTGCCCACACCATTTTGAATTCCCACCATGTTTAACAGTTCAAATCGGACCTTGATGGTTTGAGATATCCTCTGGTTTTGTTAGTTATCAATTTGAAAACTGACACATTAAAGTACTAATTGTCAGATTTGACATGGACTGCTAAAGATCAGTCAATATAATGTGACTCATATGTTCAGCTGCATTTGCAATTGTGATTTATTTAATACACAGTTGTTCCTGTTGGATTTTGTCCATGTCCAAACATGCATATGGAGATAACGAGGTAAGTATCAATGTAATAAACATCAGAGTGCTCTAACTTGCAGATAAAACCACAGTCTGGCATTCGACTAAAACAGGCAAAACGATGACAAGCAGTGAAAGGTGGTGCTCCTCTAAAGATTAGTATGTGTTACAATGTGTCCAGTGATAACATACAGGGTGGATCTGCAGGTACAGCCGAGTGTCTCTGCAGTATATTTGTGTATATGTGAATGCATGTAAACAATACAAGACCATTCAAGTGTGAAATATTTGGACTTGAAAGTTAATTTCAGACAAACCCAAATAGTACATTTCTCAATATCGGCTGTTTTTCAAGTTCAGTTTTGGACTTAAATGTAAAATTAGTTTCAAATTAACTTTAGTAACCTTGATAATTGTTTAAAAATCCTCAGTATTTTTTTTTTTTTATTATAATTCTTTATTTTTGTGCAGATTCAATACAAATGTCCACATTGCCACAACAGCTTATGTAGGCATACTTAGCAACATTCATCAACACAGTATTGGCATATACAGGCATATACAGGCATTGTACCGGACCGTTAAGCACACAAAGGGGTTAAAATCCGGCGATATTCCCCTTCCAGATATACAGGCAGCTACTGCAAGCACCAATCTCCCGAACAGGAAACACACGAATTCTCCAACTCCCGAACTGGAGCCATACGAATGCTGTAAACAGCCGAACAGGAAAAACCATATGAACAGTTTACACTCCTGGCAGTCGAACTGTAACAGCATACAATCAAATCCCCCCAAGAACGAGATGACACTTCGTTTTGAGGGTCAAGCAGTGATCTGTTTTACTGGGGCTACCTGCCTGGTATTTATGCAGGTCTTCCGCCAGGTGGACACTCCCCTAGGGGACCTGGTGGAAGACTGGGATACATATTGGACATTAACCAATTACAGACATACACCTTTAAACACTCCCACAATTACATCACAACTCCTCCTCTCTATCCTGGAGATAATTGGGAAGTAATCCAATTATCTCCAAGGACAGAGGCAAAACTCCATTAGCCACATGTTAGCGAAAAGACATAAAATTACACAATGTTGCAAATATTACATAAAACATATACATTCAACATATCCCCAGATAGCTTAGATCTGAGCACACATTATTACCGAATGGCGCTCAGATCACATACATTTAGTTCAATGGCCATGGAGCCAAAGTCTTTCACATAGTCTTTCGTGTGGGCTCCATGGCATAGCTATCTGGGGTAATACTGCTCATATAGGGAAAGTACAGAACGGACGGCGTCCGTATGAATTGCAGGAGAAGGGAGGTCGGCGGCTCAGCGATGTTCGTGAGTTTAAATGTCCGTTTTGAGTTCCACAGTTCTGGAGCTGAACACCGCTGGCCGTTCGGGAGTTTAAGATTAACCGCAGCTTCTGGGAGGTAAATCATAAATCACTGGCACACTCCTTGCCCAGGTGGTCCCCCCCATTCGTGCGTTGGTTCGGTAGATTCAATCTACCGAACGCCCAGGCAGAAAGGCACGACCAAGTCTTTCTGCAGGGGAAAAGAACAGCGTTTAACATGGTACCATAGTCCAGAGGGAGCAGGCGAGCATGATATTTGCCAATGCCATGTCTGTGTCTGGCATGCCGCCTGACATAAAGTGGTTATATAGGGAGGGGAGGTGGAGGGCTAGTTCCTCTTTGAATTTCTTGTAATACCCTGTGTCATAACCGTCGGGGCCTGGGGCTTTGTTCCCTTTCAAGGCTGCTATGGCTGTTTCCACTTCTATTTGGGTAATTGGTTCTTGTAAGAGTGTGCCATGAAGGCACGTAGTGAGGTGCGTATCTGTTCCGGTGTGCATTGTTGATGTTGGGTCTGGCCATAGAGTTTCGAGTAGAACTCCGTGAATACCCTATTTATGTCTCGGGGAGTCTCTGCTAATTCCTGGTTGTTTGTGCATAGCTTTGTGATAGGTTTGTGGACTCCTCGGGGTCGCAATGCTCTTGCCAATAGGGAGTCCATTTTATTGCATTTTTTGTAAAATAGTCGTCTGGATCTCTGGACAGAGTGTGCGATCCCCTCAAGCAGGATCCCCCTGATGGAGTGTTTTAGGGCGGTGAGTTCGGCTAATTTTTCAGGTGTGGGATTATGTTTGTGTTGCTGTTCTGCTTTTCTTAGGGCACCCTGAAATTCTAGTAGTGCACGGGTGTTGCATTTCTTTTTATGTGTTGCTACTTGAACTATGAAGTGGCCTCTCAGGACCGCTTTGTGGGTCGCCCAAATCGTCACTGGGTCTACCTCTGGCGTGTTGTTTTGTGTGAAGTATTCTCTAATGAGGGTGCGTGTGTCTTCACATATGGTGTCGCTGTTTAGTAGGCTTGTGTTAAGATGCCAGGTCCAGGTGACGGAGTACTTGAGTTTGTCTAATGTAACTGTGATACCCGCATGGTCCGACCAGGTGATGCTGCCTATGTCGGTGTGCGCTAGTTTGGACATCCCTACTGGAGCCCGTTGAGAAATATGTGATCTATTATTGAGTATGTGCCGTGGGGCACTGAATAGAACGTGTAGTCACGTGTGTCTGGATGCTGGAGCCTCCAGGCGTCTAGAATTTGTTTGTTGGTGAGAAATGTATGCAGTAATTTATCTTGTGCACCTCTCTCCTGGGACCTGGGCGAGCCTTACTTCGTGCTCCTGTCGATAGCTGGGCTTGGTACAGCGTTAAACTCGCCCCCCACCACTGTTATACCTCCCCTGTCAGCGTTGATTATTGTCGTGAGGGTGTCCCAGTATGCAAGGGCTGGGCCGTTTGGGGCATACACATTTATGATCCTAATTTTTGTGCTGTGTATTGTGCCTGTTATAGCAATATAGCGGCCCTCAGGGTCAGTTTGTGTCCCTGTCACTTGGAGTGGGCAGTTTTTGAGTACTAATATTGCCACTCCAGCTCGTTTGTGTAGTGCTCTTGCTTCGTGGGTCTGGGGGTAATGTCTGTCTTTCAGTGTTATTGTCGCTGTCCTGGGGAGGTGGGTTTCTTGGACAAGGGCTATTTCGATTTTATGTGCTTTCAGGTCTCTTAGCAGTAGCCTATGTTTATTCGGGGTGTTCAGGCCCTTGACGTTGAGGGAGACGATTTTTAAAGTCATTTATGGGCGTGGTTGTGTTTATGAGGTCACCTACTTTGTTGCGCAGTCTGGTTCCCTCTTATCGCGGCTGAGGCACTCTTTCCAAGGTCTTGGGCAGTTGCAGTCGTGTAGTGTGCAACCTTGTCTGTGGAGAGGTCTCCTGGATGTGGCCTTGTGTGGGCGAAGCGGTGGTGATCATAAATTGGCCAGCTACCACTGTCATGTGTTCAGAGGGCTTAAGGGAGCTTGTGCTACTGAGTGAAGCATACAACAATATGTCATACGTGTACAGTGCATTTATGGGTATACGACCTGTTCCATTCAAGTCTCTCTTGCGACCTCGAGGAGTGGTATGGAGGTGAGCGACTGAGTCAGGCCCAGCCCACCTTTCTGGTATGGCAGCGGTGGCTCCCTCCACGGGTTACCCCTCGAAGTCATGTCCCTGTTGTTTTGGTGATGTGGTGGTTCGCCTGGGGCTTGGAGTAATGTCCCGGAGTCCCATCGTATTTCACGGTTTGAATCAGTCTTTTTGGGGTTTGTGTGCGAGGGTAATTGCAGCACATCTCAGGAAGGTTCCATTGTGTGTTGTAGTCCCTTATGTCCGCTGAGCAGGTGAGTGGACGTCATCCCCTCGGTTATCTGATGTGTCTGTTCTCTGTCTTTTGGGCGGTGAGCGTCTCCGCTGGTCCCTTGGTTGATGGTTCAGGGACTGCGCCGGGTCCGTTGCATACCAGTCCATAATGCGTACATCCATAAGTTTCAGCGCTCTAGTGAATGGTGTCACATCTCTATGTTCTGCTATGATGTGGGTGGTCCCTTTGAGCGTTACAATAAGGGCAAGGGGGAAACCCCATTTGTACCTGATGTGTCTTGCCCGCAGTTGGTCAGTGATCGGTTTCAGGTGCCTCCTCGCTTGGAGGGTGAGCCATGAGAGATCTTGGTAGATTTGGATTTCATGCCCATGGAACCGCAATGGAGGGTTAGTATCCCTCAGTTTCTTGAGTATGCGGTCCTTATCTGTGAAGTAGTGCAGGCGGCATATGATGTCTCTTGGAGTGCCCTCATTATTGCCTCTTGGTCTGAGCGATCGGTGTGCTCTGTCAAAGTGGATCTGTGCTGCTGCAGGTTGCTATAATAATAAGTTGAATAACTCTTGCAGGGAAGCTTGTATGTCTTCAGCCTCAGATTCAGGCAGGCCCTTAATTCTTAGATTGTTTCTGCGCCCTATGTTGTCTATATCGTCTAGCGCTCTTTGGAGCTGTGACATTTGCGTTTCGTGGGCTGCTAGACGATTTGACAGGGTGTGTAGTTGGTCTGTACCTGACCTCTATCAGTCTCCAGGTCTTGTACACGGAGGCCTACTTGCCTGATTTCAGAGCCTAGGTCCTCCACCCTCCTCTGAAAGGATGTTTCCA